TAAGCTTCTTGATGAGTTAAAGATCAGGTTGTTGTCTGCTAATAAGTTGACGAATGATGCTGAGTTGAAACAACTCACAGATGAAAACGTGAAGAAGTGGGTTGATGAGCTTAAACAAGTGCTTTATGAGGCAGACCACGTCATGGACAAAGTCAACACCGAAGCTCTTCGGCGCAGAATTGAAGAAAGTGATCAATCTGGAAGCAAAGCAAGTTCGTTCTTCAACTTCATGCCAAAGTCGAATAGTGCATTTGAAATCGGTGTGAAATCTGAAGTTGAGGAGATCCTTCGAAGATTGGATCTTCTTTTGAGGCAAAAGGAAGAGCTTGGTCTGAGAGAAGGTGTTTACCAAAACAGACCTCAAAGACTGACTGCTCCTTTGGTGGATGCTTGTGATGTCTATGGAAGGGATGCTGAGAAAGAGGCCATCATTGAAATGTTGTTATCAGATCATAATGGCGGGCGTAAGATATCTGTGATTCCTATAGTGGGCATGGGTGGTATCGGCAAAACCACGCTTGCCCAGCTTGTCTACAATGATAGCAGAGTCCAAGATCATTTTGCCTTGAAGGTGTGGGTAACTGTATCAGAGGATTTTGATGTTTTTAAACTTACAAGAATAATTATTGAGGCGATCACTTCTCAAAAATGTGATATCCAGGACCTATATCAACTTCAAAATGCACTGAAAACTCTATTGATGGGGAAAAGATTTCTGTTTGTTCATGACGATGTTTGGAATGAAAAATACGAACTTTGGGATGCTTTAAGGAGCCCTTTCAACTCTGGAGATGACGGGAGTAATATTATTGTGACCACACGCAGTGAAATTGTTGCATCAAGGATGGGTACCGTTCCAGCATATTCTCTAGAGATTATATCAGAGGACGATTGCTGGAAGTTGTTTGCTAACCATGTCTTTGAAAATAGAGGCTCTCAGATACATCCGGATTTGCAAGAAATGGGTAAAGAAATTGTTAAAAAGTGCAAGGGTCTTCCTTTGGCAATAAAATCAATTGCTGGTGTTCTACGCTCGTTATCAAGTTCGGAGGAGTGGAAAGGGATACTTGAAAGTGACGTGTGGGAGTTGCAATTTCAAGAAAACCAGAAGAATAATATTCTTCCAGCATTACGGTTGAGTTACCAGTGGTTACCTCCACATCTAAAGCGATGCTTTGCTTATTGCTCAATATTCACCAAAGATTACGAGTTTCATGAAAAGGATAGAGAAATTGTAGTCATGTTGTGGATGGCGGAAGGACTTTTGCAACCTGAAAGAGGAAGAAGATTGGAAGATGTTGGAAAGGAGTACCTAGATGTTCTAATAGCAAGGTCCTTCTTTCAACGATCAAATAACTGGTTTGGAAAACCAACTCTCCTTATGCATGATCTTGTGCATGATTTAGCTATGCGCATATCTGGCGAGTCTTGTTTAATGTTAAATGATTGCCATGACCTGGATGGCCTTACAAGCAACACTTGTCATTTGTCATACACAATAGAATCTAATGTCATGATGAAATTAGAGGCTTTATCCAAAACCAAGTGTTTGAGGACCCTACTAGCTTTACCATTGTCATATACCTACGTGCGTAGGTCAATGTTGACAGATACTGTCCTGCTTGAACTGTTGCTAGGAGCTGGAGGACGCTTAAGAGCTCTCTCTTTATTTGAATCTGCTATTACAAAATTGCCAGATTCAATCGGTAATATGAAACATTTAAGGTACTTGAACTTATCACGTACAAACGTCAAAGAAATTCCCAGTTCAATTTGTACTCTGTACAACTTGCAAACACTGTTGTTGTCATATTGTAAAGCAATTACAGAATTGCCAACTAGCATGTGTTGTTTAATCAACCTACGTCATCTCGTGATCGAAGGAACGAGATTGAAAGAGATGCCGCCACAGATGTGCAAGTTGAAAAATCTACAGATGTTAAATTATTTTGTCTTGGGTGAAAATGGTGGTTCTCGGATCAAAGAGCTGGGAGAACTACAGTCTTTGTGTGGAAGTCTTTGTATTTTAGGCCTTGAAAACGTGGTGGATGTTGGGGACGTGATACAGGCTGATTTGAAGAACAAAGAGCAGCTTACTGAGCTTATTTTAGAATGGAAGTATGGAGAGACTGATGATTCAACAAAAGAAAGACAAGTACTTGATGCGTTGAAACCGCATGGAAAGCTGAAGAAACTCAAAATCAGAGGTTACAGGGGTACTATATTCCCAGATTGGGTAGCACATAAATCGTTTAGTGACTTCGTTGAAGTCTCTCTGATTCATTGTGAACGTTGTTGCTTGTTGCCCTCATTTGGGCAATTACCTTCCCTCAGAAAGCTTGAGATTGAGTATATGAATGGGTTGGAAAGTATAGGAGATGAATTTTGTGGTACTTCCTTGACCAAGCCATTTCCATCCTTAGAAAGCTTAAGAATCAGTCACATGGATTTGTTGGAGAATTGGTCATTTGTTGGAGTTGAGCAAAGAGGAGAACTTTTCCCTCGTCTCAAGAAAATCTATTTACTTGACTGTAAGAAACTAAAAGTTGGACTACCCGCGGGTTGTTTTCCATCCTTGGAAATAATTCAAATTTATACATGTGTAGAAATGGTGAGTCTATTTCCAACATTAAGTCAAGTAGAGATTGATTCCGCATATCCCTCTCTTGAATTTATAGATTTAGTGTATTGTCCAAGATTAGAGTAATTTAAAGGCACTACATATCAATAGCTGCCCAATGCTCATTGCAGACCGTATGAAGTGGGATTTGCAAAGACTCTCCTCTCTTCAAAGCTTATGGCTCTGTGGATGTGAATTTCCAGAGAAACCTTAAAGCCTTTCAGCAACTCACCTCCCTTGAACTATTGCAAATTTTGTGGTGCGAAGAATTAGAGAGCTTGCCAGAAGAAGGGCTTCCCCTTTCTCTTACTAATTTATTCATCTTGGAGTGTCCTCTGTTAAAAGAGCGGTGCCAGAGAGGAACAATCAACACATCCCCAACATAACAATCAATTCGGAAAAAGTATGAGAAAGCATTATGCATTTCTGTCCCTCCCCATCGTCAGTGTGCTCCAATCTTCTCTTCAGGTATTATAAATATGAATTTCGTTCTACTTTAGTTAATAACAATTGATAAATTTATTTCTTTTTCTTCTATATATATTTCCCTGCTACTTTAGCGTTCTTCTTTTTATATACAAGTTAGACACATGTTTTTTTCTTTTTTTTTTTTTTTTTTTTTTTTTTTTGCTTTGCTTTTCATATTTGTGTGTGAATTTTCTTAGAGTTAGTTTGCGGAGGTTAATTGATAATTTTCATGGCAAAATATTATGCTGTTATGTTCCTGTATGGTTCTTTAGTTTTTAATAAATTATCAACAAGCAGACTTTATGTTAGTTTGCCTCTACTGTGGCAATTGTTTTATTTTTTTCCTTTTAAATTATATTAGGAAAGAATTTATCTTTCCATTGTGAATTTTGTTCCATTTTACTTAATAAGTGTTGATTAATTTGCTTTGTTGGTACTCGGATCTTGTATTTTTGGTATATTTTACTAGTGTTGTGTGTGATGAAATTTTGATTTGAATTGAATTGCTGTCCATTATGTTGCTCCATTCAAAATTCTATTTTGTATGACACATTCACATTATCTTATAAAAGATTTATACCATTTTCTTATATAGATGATAAAAAATTAGAATTTCCAATAATTTATAAATGTTTCTCTATAAGTCTCTATAACTCGATCAGGATCTTATGCAGACTGACTTGTATTTTGCATCTAGTCATGAATCGCTATTGCAACTTGCTAGGATCCTAGTTGAGTCCCACATTACTAAAGTATGGCCTTAGCATGTGGGTTTATAACTACTTGGGCACCCTCTCCCTACAAGCTAGCTTTTAGAGTATGTTTGGTAGGAAAGAAAAGTAGAAAGAAGGAAGAAGGTAGAGGGATTTTGGGAGGGAAAATGAAAATGTATGTTGTTTGGTAGGAGAGAAAAGAGAAAGGAAGAGAAAATAGAGTGAAAAATAATACATGTGGGCCCCACTATTTTTTTTCTTTCCACAAGAAATGGGGACAACTCATTAAAGTGAGCAAAGTTACTAAACTACCATTTTCTCCATCAAAACAAAAAATTTAAGGGTATAAAAGTAATTTACGAGTAAGATTTTTTCTTTCCTCCTAATTTAACTTCCAATACCAAACAAGTGAAGGTAAGCTCATTTTCTTTCCATCTTCTCATACTAAATAACATAAAAGAAAATCAATTTCCTTTCCATCATTGCTATTTTCCATCACTTCCATATTTCCTTTCTATCCTATTTTCTTTCCTTCCAACCAAACATAGCATTAGGGATGAGTTCTACCCAAGGGTTATAACAATTGGTATCAGAGCATGCTCTTCTTCAGGCCCACGTTGCGGAAGGGGCGACCTGGAAAAGCCAGAGTGGGCCATCCAGAGTGGGCCGCCGTGGACATCAGTGTCGGAAGCGTGGTGTAATGACTAAGAAAATTCTAGACTTTAAATAATACAATTTATTTATTTAAGCCAAGGATTTTCCTAGAAATTATTATGTGACTGAAGGATTTATGGAATCAATATATGTATTCCTAAATTCTGTAGCAGATTTCATGTTAAGTTCATGTTTTCGATCAAGTAAATTCGATCGATAAATTCTTGCCATACTTTAAGGCGGAATAATTTTCAGTACAAGTATAGTTTGAGAATCTTAATTTCAAGAATCTCCAAACACAGCATGATGTTAGCAGCGTAAAAAAAATGCACTGACATTTTTAAAGAAGAGAAAATCCTTAAATGCCAGACAGCTAGGTTAAAGTCACGAGATAGATACTTATAATAGAAGGGTACAATGTCTTAATTGCCAGACAGCTAGGTTAAAGTCACAAGATAGATACCTATAGTAGAAGGGTACAATGTGAGCTCGGGAGTTGACACTGTCAGAAACAATGTCATTCTCGGGATATAATGCAGAAAAGTTAAATTTAGAATTTATTCAGTCTAGAATTAATTTCAAGACTTGACACAGTTTAAGATATTACGCGAGTAAGAATTTAACGTGATATCAAAGCAGACGAGGATTTAAAAGTTGAACTGTAAATAAGTAGTAGAAAAAAAAAAGAACTGTCAGAAACAAGAATTTCCTGTCAGC